TTTCTCTTCTTTTGATGGCAAGGATTCACCGTTCCTCACTTTTTCTTGTGCTTACTAATAAATATGATCCTCCATTTGTCAAAATTTGGGTTCCCAAATTTCTCACAACACAAAACGGTCAGCAGCACCGGCAGCAACCACTGATTCTTCTTTTTTCTGCGTCTTCAAACCAGAGCTACATCACCCCAAATTCAAGCTGCTGCTTCAGCGTAAAAATGCGAAAGGCGCCCTCTAGAGTCAGTGCTTGGTTTGTCCGTTCTGGGCTACTGTTGAAACATGGCGGTGGCAGCCTCTGTTGAAGAGGAGCTGCTCACTATGTAGATTACGAAGATAATGAAAACACAATGATTCATAGTTACAGCTGATTATTCACTAATGAAAACATGGTTTTGTTTACTATACTCCATTTCTGATAATGGATACTCCTAAATCTCACACACTGCACCTTTAATATATGGCCATGGCTTTTACAGGCTGCCCTGTGTATCGAGCTGTGCTGGTTGTAAAGCTTTCTGTGCCCTAAGGGGGATCAATAACTCTGTTTCCCCTCCAGGTACAATCATTAATATTCAAAAATATCAGTTTTCCCCACATAAACAAATCTGAATTTTATTTTTGTTAAATTACAATTTGCAATTTTGGTGATTTGGTGACTTTTTCTCTAAACAGTAATGAAATTGAGGGCATGTTGGAGAAGATTAGGCCTGGAGTTGGAGGTTATTTGAGACGAGGCCTAGAAATACATGAGTATGAAGAAAATCTCAGCACAACGTTCTATATAGATTTTATATAGAACCATATACAACACATTCTCCTTCAATCTAAAGAACCAAAGAACCATTTAAGCATTAAATGGTTCTACATAGAACTCATGGCTCTAAATAGGTTCATTCCCTTTACCAAAGAACACCTGAAGAACTATCTTTTTTAATATTGTAGGACTAAAAAGGGATCTTTAGTAAAGACAATGGTTCTATATAAAACCATGAACACTTGTGTGCAGAAATGTGTCTTTACATAATTAAATGGTTCTTCAGATTGATGGAGAATGTGCTTTTGAAACTGGTTCTATTAGCACCGCAAAGGGTGCATCTGTTGTTACAATGTCAAACGTGTGATGCTATAGAACCATTTTTTAAAAGATTCTACCCAGAACCATACACAACACCTTCTCCATCAATCTGAAGAACTATTTCTTTAAAGTTCATGGTTCTATTTACAAAAGAACCCTTGAAGAACCATCTTTTTTAAGAGTGTAAGACAAAAAGGGTACTTTTATTGTTAATGTCAAGCTTGTCACAATAGCAGAACACATTTTGGTTCTTTATAGAACCATTTTCAAAATGTTTCCATATAGAACCATATACAACAGATTCTCTATCAATCTGAAGAGCCATTTTACCAGACAAAGAACTCTTAAGCATGAAATGAGTCTATATAGAACTCATGGTTCTAATTAGATCCATTCCCTTTACTAAAGAACCCTCAAAGAACCACCTTTTTAAGAGTGTAGTGTGATAGATGGGGGTGTCATATCATGTGCAGTGAAAATAAAAACATCAGCCTATAGCCCCGCCCCTCACAGAGGGCATTTCATGGCAGCGCTCAGCTGGGATATGTCGCCTTAAAGGACATGATCGCTGTTTTTTACATGCAGACGTCATTTAGAACCTCTCACTGGACTTAAATGTTCCATATTTTCCAAAATTTCTTCAAAATTAAACGATGTATTGAGATATAAAGTCATTCAGAGTGGTTTGGTGTGAAATGCTCCATTCTAGAGAAAAGTACTGAGTCAGAATTGTTCACAGTGGTGGTGATAGGAACCAGACGTCCACCTCTATAAATAAATTTTATAGTATATTCCATATAAGCTCAGAAGACTCGTGTAGGTTCACTGGTGGTTCTGGATAGTAAATAAAATGTCTATATTTGTGTTGTAGTCATGGTGACCCCTGGTTCCTATCACCACCACTGTAAAGACATCTGAACAATTTCACACCAAACCACTCTGAATCACTCTGTTTACACCTCACACACTGAATTATGCAGAAAATGTGAAAACCTGGACAGACCAATGAGGAAATTACTTTAAAAAAATCCTTAAAAATCAACTAGAAGTGCCTGAAAGATATACACACCTCTAGGTCTTTACACAGACCTGCATACAACAACACTACACCACTGTGACAAAGTCATCATATCTTTTCTTCTATCAGATAAGTTTCATTTTGCCACTTAATCTCAATCTGTGTTTGTGTTACTACTGAAGCCTCGGTTCTACTTTTTTTGTAAACAGTTAAAAGAAGTTAAAATCAATTTTATATTTCTTTGTCAGATGTGTTTATAATTTTATTCAGATGACTAGATTACTTTTATTTATTAGACCACATAAAGTTTTGGAAAAACTTAAGTAAATAAATACATAACGTCTATACGACACTTAATACTGTATATATTTCAGTGAAATAGTTTCTCAACATCTCTATTTATTTAATTGTTTAATTTTTGCTTGTTTGTTTCTTTACTTCCTAAATATGGAAAAAGTCATGGGATCCATAACAGGATTGAACGTCAGTAAGTAAGTAAGTAAGTAAATAAATAATAAATAAAGTGATGTAGGTAAGGAACGGAAGTTACACCTGTTGTAGCTTACTGCAGGAAATACTTTTTTATTCAAAAAATCATTAAATTGAGGGTTTTTTCCCAAATTTGATTTATTTGTTTATTTATGTAAGAGAAACTGGGCGTTTCAGGACATTTCAGGCACGTGTGCACGACATTCTATTTTTAAAAATGTAAGAAAAAACTCCAGCACAATAGACAGTAATAATAATAATAATAATAATAATAATAATAATACACATATTAATGTAAACCCATGCAAAATTTGCGCGCCCCTGTTGTTGTCGATTTTCTAAGTTAAAATAAGTGAACACATCCTCCACAGAGCACACACTTAAATATGATGTATATACATTTTAAATATAATAAACATTTTTTGTATAATTTCTACTTTTCCATTTTACTGAATGCAATATGTTGAAAATTGCACAGGTCGTATTTTATGGGTTGTTTCCAGTTTTTTCCACCTTATTTTCAAACATAAACAGTAATTGTGCATTAAATTTAGAAAACGATGACATTTTGACTTCACCAGGGGTGCCCAAACTTTTGCACTCGCACCCTTTCCCACCAGTCTACCAATTTATTCCCAAAATGGAGCTCCACCTGCGCTTCTACGGCCTTCAGAAGTCATCACCGGTAAGGCCGTAAGACTGATGAAAGATTCTACTGTCGCTGTTTCAGACTGACACGGAACGCGAAGCTCAAAGGGAACCAGGGTGGCGCTCCGTCATTCACCTTCTGGTTCCTCCGTCCAGATGCTGGAGATTTCGCTTCAGACCTGATTGTGGAGGATCTTCTGCAGTAAAGGACTTCCTGAAGCTTTTCACACCGGGAATTTGCGCTTAACTAAAAACCCACACGTGAGCATGTTTATTGAGGATGAAGTGGAGCGTGATGGCCTGTTTGGAGGTCAGGATCTCGGCCTGTAGGGTCATTTAAAGCTGGGTTTTTCTTTCCACACCAGATTAGTAAGTAAACATGTTCATAAGAATAAAGGCGAATGTAAAAGTTTTGGACATTGGGCAGCAGCGTCATGGTCAAGATCACCCAAAGCACTCGAGACTGCTGCTTTCTTTAGGAGGGCAAAGGTGAGGGAGAGGAAGGAGCGCGCAGTGGTGGTGGTGGCGGTGTGGCGGGGGGTATTGCCCTATACATATCTGAACCAAGAGACATGGCCTAAATTGTCAATTTTTCCAAAAATAAAAAATAATACCCTGAGCAGTCATGTGTGTACGACCTACTCACCCACTTTACTTATTTATCTATTTTTCATGTCAAAAAAGATCTACAAACCAAAACATCCATGGAGACATTTTTGACATTTTGACTTTTTCCAAATTCTTATTTTATTTCAAATTTTCGCCAAAACAGCGGTGATACTCCAAAACTGAGAGATTGTTCTTGGTAAGGCTGGGCTCGTGCAGCCTCCGCCCAGTTTTGCCAACATCCCCCCCACCGCCACCAATACCCCCCACCATCACTCCTCCAAAACCAGCCACCTCTTTAAAACCTAAAACACGTCATCGCCCCAAGTCACGTTTATGAAATTCTGAACTTTTTTCAAACGACAAAATTGCGGTTTTACGCGCAAACATGCGGTCACCTTAAATCACCTTTAGTAGTCTAATGAAGCACATGCACGAGCTTCAGTGTTGAAATCTGAACCTCAGCAATCTTTTGAGACTAATATTTTACTAAGAGAAACACCTAAAACGTAAAAAAACTACAAATTGCGGATGAAATTGTTCAGAAAATTGAAAAACAGGCATTTAAAAAAAACAGGCGAATTCGCAGGAAGGCGCGGAGCTGCTCCTTTAAGAGAGCACACGACTACTCTCGAATCAGGGTGACATCACGGGTTCCCTCGCGGTCTATTGGCCGAAGGCACGTGTCTATGGATACTGGAGTGAAACGTCACAGGTGCTGGGCGGGGCCTCGTATTGGGGAGGGGAAAAAAAGGAAAAGAGCGGAGAAAAAAAGCCCCCAAAATAAATAAATAAATGGGGAGTGAAAGTATTTGAGGAGCAGTTTGGATCCCCCTCCTCTTCCTCCTCAGTGTAGTGGGGCACTGAAGCGCGCTGCCTTTTTTCCCCTTTTTCGCCTTACCCGGATTGTACCAAAAAAAAACAACAACAATTTTTTAATTTTTTGCGCCTTTTTTGCTGCGCTCTTTTTGCGCTTCTCCCAGAAGTCCAGGGCTTTTTTTTTTTAAACAATCTGAGGATAAACTATGTTTTTGCTTTGTGATCAGGACGCGTGCGGGCTGCTTTCTGTCCCAGAAAACTGCTGGTAAAAAAAAACAAAAAAAACAAAACCAAACAACGCCAACAAAATTTTCCCCTCCAATAAAATATTGCGCTGAAAGTGAAGCAAAGTGGCCGGAGGAGCAGCGGGAGAGAGCGGTGAAGGGTTAAAGGAGGGCAGCGTGGAGAGAGCGTCTCAGCATGGATGAGGGCGAGCAGAGCGCGCCTAGAGATGATGAGCCCAACCGGGCCACCGACCGCTCCATCCGTCCGGCTCCGGGCAACCCGCAGCCGCTCCCTCACCGCATCACCAACTTCTTCATAGACAACATCCTCCGCCCCGATTTCGGCAAGAGGAAGGAGGTGAGCAGCCAGCAGGCTGAGAGCGGTGGCCCCGCAGGGCCGGAGGACGGCGGCGGGAGGAGCCCCGCGACGCCCGGACCGGGTCGCCTGGGCAGCGGCGGGCCAACGGAGGGCACCTCCAGCCCACACTCGGAGGACGGAGCGAAGAAAGCAGAGATAGAAGAGCCATTAAAAGCCAAGGGGGGCAACAAGGAGCAGTGCCTGAGCAGCTCGGAGTCGGACACCTCTCAGTCCAGCGCCAACCTGCCCAACAGCCAGCCCATGCTGTGGCCAGCCTGGGTCTACTGCACGCGCTACTCGGACAGACCCTCATCAGGTACGCGCTCTCCGTTCGTCTGTTTATCCCTAAATCACCCCCAACTTCGCCTGAACCGAGACCTCCTCGTGCCTCACTACTGCACAGCCTAGAAAATCAGGCGAACAAACCGCATTTTATAGGCGCAGAATATTTAGAACCGGAAAATGCACTAATATTTAAGGCCTTTTGCGGCTATTCTAGAACTGCAGAAAGGAAACGAGGCTGTCTGCATCGATCTCACAAGATAAAATCATCAAAAAAAGAAAGTTGGTAAAATTAGGTGCATGAGAAAAAGAAATTGATTTGGGGTTTTAGATTTTTAAGATCGTCGCAAACATCTACGATCGCTACCATGCCCTCGTGAGCTTGTGGCAGGACAGCACGCTTGATAATAATAATAAATAACATTCATATTTTATACTTTACACCAAGGAGAACTTGAAACGTGGTCAAGGCTGTAAATTGCGCAAGAGAAAAACAACCGCGAAATTTTCTTCAGAATATTTAATTAGCGATTTTTCTCTTCGGTTTTCTGTTGTAGATTTTTATGTATATTATTTAGTGTTACAGTGCAGCAGGGCCTACCAATGTGAGGTTTTCTTGAAGTGACGCTGCTGAACGGGTTAAAGCACACCGTGCACTTGCGTGCGTGCGCGTTCGTGACGGTCAAAATTTAAAGTAATATTTCGTACGAAAACAAAAATGGCACGTATGGGCTGAGCAGGGATGCCGTGAAAACGTCATCCGGAGGTTGTAAAAGAGGAGGGGAAACATCCCCTCCCGACCCTCTCACAAAAAAGTTATTTATTTTGGTTTATAGTTTTGGGGATATTTTTGCGCTCCACCTTCTCTACGGTCGTCTGTTTTGGGTTTATCCCGGGTGAAATGTGGCTAGAGGGACGCCTGGGTTGGGCTGAAGGGCTACCTCCGTTTAAGAAGTGGTGGATGGTTAGCTTTGAGCAGCGCAGAATTGCGCCAATCATAACATCATGAATAGCGACTATACATGCTACTAGAACAGGCTGCGGTTTATGAATCGCGTTTGGAAAATGTGTTTACAGTGTCGTGATTGCGTTCCAAGCTGGCACGTTGTCGCGCGGTACATTTAGGTTCTTTATGGTGAAATCAATGGCGGTGCTCGTGCTTCGATCAGTCCCTTATCCAGTCCAGAATGTGGACAATTGCTTTTATTTTCCAAACTGGAGCTCGCCCTCTTCCATATTCTGCTTCTCAGCCCCCCACCCTCCATCCCTCCACCCCTCCCTTCCCCGCATTACCTATTCATGCAGCCCTCCGTGCTTCACACCCCCCGTGACGCAAAAATAATAAATAAATAAACAAATAAATATAGTGATTACTGTGTTTACCAACAATTTCCATTAACAGACTATGTTTACTACTGCTCTCCATCCTGCACGTATATCAGGGCTGCACGATATAAGCAAAATATCGTATTGCCACTTTTCCAATATAATAAGGACACATTATTTACGTGACGGCGCCAACAAAACATTTGCGGTTTGGTTCCATCGCATTACGTTTATTACGATATCAACGCCAAAGTAGAAAACAACCTTAAAAAGATGGTTCTTCAAGGGTTCCTTAGTAAAGACAATGGTTCTATATAGAACTATGAAAACCCAAACAACCACTTGCGTGCTTAAATGGTTCTTTGCATGGTGAAATGTTTTTTTTTCGAATTAATACGTTCTATCTAGAACAGTTTTGAAAATGGTTCTGTATTGCACCAAAAGGGTTCTGCTATTGTTACGATGTGAGTTTGTAACTATTTTGGTGCAAAAAATCACACCAAGTGTTCTTTAGTAAAGGGAACAGTTCTATGTAGAAACATTTGCATGCTTAAATGGTTCTTAGCATGGAGAAATTGTTCTTCAGGTCGATGGAGAATGTGTTGTAGAGGGTTCCATATAGAACGTTTTTTAAAAAATATATATTTTTGGTGCAAAAACCAACATTGAAGGTTCTTTAGTAAAGTGAACAGTTATATATAGAACCATGATTTCTATGTAGAACCATTTCGTGCTTAACTGGTTCTGTGCATGGTGAAATAGTTCTTCAGGTTGATGGAAAATATACATATAACACCAAAAAGCGTTCTTCTGTTGCTTTGATGTCAAACCTTTTTGGTGCCACATAGAACCATTTCACCATGCAAAGCATGCAAATTGTCCTTTTAGTGTTCAGCGTTCTATTTACCAAAGAACCCCTGAAGAACCTTATTTTTAAAGTGTGTAGGACCACTTAAGGTTCCCTATAGAAGCTTTCTAGTGGAACCATTGGCACAACGCGTTACAGTCCACGAGCACAGCAAGGTGTGGTCCAGATCTTTCACGCGCCCTCTCGTTTCAGGTCCCAGGTCCCGCAAACCAAAGAAGAAGAGCGCCAGTAAGGAGGACAAGCGCCCGCGCACGGCCTTCACCGCCGAGCAGCTGCAGAGACTGAAGGCCGAGTTCCAGACCAACCGCTACCTGACCGAGCAGAGGCGACAGAGCCTCGCGCAGGAGCTCGGCCTCAACGAGTCCCAGATCAAGATCTGGTTCCAGAACAAGAGAGCCAAGATCAAGAAGGCTACAGGGACCAAGAACACGCTGGCCTTGCACCTGATGGCCCAGGGACTCTACAACCACTCCACCACGAACACGACCACCACCACCACCACCACCACCACCACCAAGGGGGACAAGTCGGACAGCGACTGAGAGAGAGAGAGATGATGATGATGATGATGATGACGATGATGGTCCTCCTTATATTCCCAATGCAATAATTCACCAAGGGCCAGTGGACAAGCATAAACATACCAGCATTACTGAAGCTAAAATAGAAAAAAAAAATTGTCAAAAAAATAAGAATCTGATAACGATTACGATCAGCTTGTTGATCAGCTTGTTGATCAGCTTTCGCGCGTGAGGGGACAGGAGAGAAACCCATTGCATTCTCCATCTGTCAGTGTTACATTCGGCTATCACACAAAAGCACGTGGGAGAAAAGAAAAAAAAACAAACAAACAATAGAAAAAACAGAAAAAAGAAAAAAAAGAAAAAAATCTGCTTAAATCCAAAGAATATTTTCTGCTGCACCCAGGCAACTGTGAATATTAATAACCTGCTAAGGAGGCATTTTATGATTTTTTTCACGTTCGTTTTTTTTTTTTTCTCATTTTATTTTTAAATTTAAAAAAATTGGTTGGATGGTTTGGTACAAAAATAAAGAAACACATAAAATAGACGCAAATTTTCATGAGTAAAACTGGATTTAGGATTTTTTCCTAAAGAAATTTGTAAAATTTGTATTATTATTATTATTTTATTTTTTTGCCTGGCTACTTTCAATGAGGAGTTTGAGAAATTTTAAAACATGGAAAAGAAGGACAAAAACAATGAAACTAAAATGAAATCATGCCACCATAGCCTATTCCAATCGCGAGAACGAGGTGTAGCCTACTGCGTAGGAAAAATTTATTATTATTAATTTTTATTTTTTGTTAATAATTTAATTTAGCACCCATGTGTAGAAACACTGTCCTAACCAACGTGAAATAACCAACGAGCTGGGTCCATCCCAACAGAGAAAAAATCTGAAATTAAGTTTTTATGAAAAAGAGCAATATTATAATTTTTTCCTTTTATTTTTTGGTTTGTTTTCTGTAGCAAAGTATGTTTTAATCAATGTAATGCTGCCTATAAACGTGTAGCACACTGACAATGATGTTAGCGCGATACAGAACTATAACAGAAGTATAATAATATTATAAATATACAAATATATACACACATATACATATACATATATATATATATACATATATATATATAAAACAAACACTATAGAAATAAAAATCGAAGCAAACCAGCAGTTTACTGTATAACAAATGTTAAATGCTGTTTTATTGTTCATATTTGTTATGTATTTATAGAGATATATTGAGGGGAAAAAAAAGAAAAAAAAGTTTATCCAAAATGACCAGTGTGGCTTTTTATTTGAGAGTTAGATTTCTAAAAAATAAAAATAAAAAATAAATAAAAGGTGTTTAAATGGCTTATTTATCTTGCAATAACTTCTGTATGTGAGAGATTTTTTTTGTTTTTATTTTTTATTTTTATTATTTTTTTGGAGGCCTTTGCATGAAGATTGTCATATCGAGGATGATTTATTGGATTTACTGGATTTATTGGATTTGTTCACGTGTTTCTAAGAGCTCAGAAAGGTTTCTATGCGTTTGCGGAAGATTTCCATAAACCAAAATCCCAAATTTAATTTTTTCTATCCTTTACATTTGAATGAAAAAGAGAGAAAAAGAAAAGAGAGTGTGTGAATTAAAAAAAAAAGAAAAATCACCAAACCGAACACACTTTGCCTTACTGAGTTTCAGACTGAGTGCCCAGTCTATCGATCCTCTATCGATCCTATCATCAGCAGAGCTAGCTATAGTGACTATGACGCGTAAACAACAACAACAACAACAACAACAGCAGCAGCGACACGTTTGAGATGTATAAACGATGTTATTTTTTATTTGTGTTTACACGGTATTGTAAATAATTTGTATCGCGTATGCATTAATGGTGTAATTAATTGCCTATTGAACTGGATAAAGAAGTAAATAAACAGGACAGATAATCCTCTTCACCTGTGTGGTCAGTGTGTGGTCAGTTCTCTGGAGGCCTGGAGGACTGACCGCTGTGCGCGTCTTTCTGCTCTTATTACTGGGAGCTCGAGCCTCCCTTTCATCAAATGGGAGCTGCGCCGGATGTGACGTCACCGGTTTGGCGCACCGAGCTTTGCCAAATCAGGAGAGAGTCCCAGTGTGAGGGGACCAGTGGCACCGATCTGCGCCCAGCCTGAGCAGGGCACCCCCCCCCCTCAGAGCCAGCTCCAGACCACCAGCTCTCTCTCGCTCTCTCTCTCTCTCTCTCTCTCTCTCTGTCCTTCTTTCTGTTTCTTTCCTTCTTTCCGTTTCTTTCTTTCTCTATTTATTTCCTTCTTTATCTTTCTTTCTTTTTTCCTTCCTTCTCTTTCTTTGTTTCTTCTTTCTCTTTCCTTCTTTCTTTCTTTTGTTCTATCTTTCTTTATTTTATTCTTTCCTTCTTGCCTATTTCCTTTCCTTTTTTCTTCCCTTCTTCTTTTTTTCATTCTTTCTTTGATTCTCTTTTTTCTGTCTTTCCTTCTTCCTTTCTTGTTGTCCTGCTCCAGTCCACACTGGGACAGAACTGTAGAGTAATAAGTAACAATAGTGGAACCCTTTTTGTGCTATACAGGACCATTTTCTTTAAAGAACTGTATACAAGAGCTTTCCCATCATTCCAGTGGTTCTCTTTACTAAAGAACCCTTGAGGAAACATTCTTTAAGTGTGTGTCATCCACTTTTATTTATATGAATAATTCATGCTGTAAAATCCTTGTATATCACAAAGACATACCTGCATTGGAGCAAACTACACTCTTAAAAACAGGGTTCTTTAAGGGTTCTTTAGTAAAGACTTCAGTTCTATATGTGACCATGAACACTCACAGTACCATTTGTGACCAATGAGGTCCTCTAGATTCCTAAAGAACTGAGTTTCTCCATTAGAAAGGTTCTTTAGGTACCTAAAGTGTTGTTACACAGTTAAAAAGGTTCTTTAGTAAATAGAGCCACAGACACTAAAAGGACCTAATGCATGCTGCGCATGTTGAAATGGTTCTTCAGATTGATGAACAATGTGTTGTATATGGTTCTATATAGCACCAAAAGCGTTATTTATACATAACAATATCTAAAATTATATACAAAGAACTAAGAACATGTACAAAGAACATGCAAAGAACTATTTAAGAATGCAAATGGTTCCTGGCATGCTCAAGGTTCTATATAAAACCACTGTCTTTACTAAAGAACCCTTAAGGAACCATCATTAAGAGCATACCAAAACAAAACTCTCCACAGTTCACTAATAGAGTTTATGGAATATATATATATATATATATATATATATATATATATATATATAAAACAGTGTAATCTTAAAGCATGTGAACTGATAATGAGAAAAAATATATTGATAATCGAGTATACAGAACTAACCACACTGGAGAAAATAGTATCTTGTGAAGTGAAATGATCTTAAATCTAGTTGAAATATCTAATATTTCTAAATTTGTGCACTTATTATAAGATTATCAAGCTTAATTGTCAACATTATTTAATTGTTTTGGGTAATTTTATCACATAAATGATCTCACTACACTGGCAGATCAGTTTCAAGCATATTTCTCACAACAAGCAAAAGCATCTGCCAACGCAGTGAGATCATTTTACTTAATAAAATCAAATAAAACAAGTAAAAAATGTGTAGAAATAAGTTAAACAATCTTAAAATAAGCTTACAACACTCAGCGGGATAAATATTAGATTTATTGACTATTTTTAAGACTATTTTATTTAACAAAACAGGATTATTGCAGTGCAACAAAACACCAAACGTTGAGTCGTTTTCACTGAACCTTCTGAAAAACTCTGAAAAAGTAACATAACAAATGCTGCATTTGTCAATTTGGATCAATCACAAACTAACAGAGTGTAACTAACACAGCGTTTGTAGTTTCATATTTAAAGACGTTCTCCAAAAAATGAACAGTTAGCAAATCTGGGCTACTGAACTCGAGTCTCAACATACTGAAAAAGAAACAGAACCAGAGACCTGACATTTCCTTAAAGTGGGAACTTTATTTTTCCATGCAGAGTAAAACAAATCCATTCAGTTTAATAGACACTGGGCCTCGTTCTCCAATATCTTCCTAAGTGTGTTCCTAAGTGTGTTCTTGAGAAAGATCCTAAGAAAAACTCCTCATCAGATTCATGACGTGTTCTTAAAGCGCAGAACTGTTCTCACCTTTGTGCTCTTGAGTGTGTGTAGATTCTGTTCTTACCTAAGAACAAATCCCCAGATAAGAAAACATTGGTGAGTCAGAATCTTCGTCAAAACTGCGTAAGAAGAAATTTCTTCTTGGAGAACGAGGCCCAATGTTATTTACACTGGCACACAATAAAATAAACAAAACAGTCACATTATGCAAAGGTCATAGGTGATGAAGAAGGTCAAATGACATGTTCTGTTGATTTTCTAAGTGAAAATAAGTGAACACATCCTCTACAGAGAACACACTAAAAACGGAAATTTTTCTGCAAATTTGGAGCACAATTTCTATTTATTTGCATGAGTTTAACATATCGAATTTAATGTGCCATAACTTTTGCACAGGCTACATTTTATGTTTTATTTTCTCCCCAATGTGATAAATTTAGTAAATAACCAGTAATTGTGCATTCAATTGTGCAGAGGTGTGCTCCCTGTAGAGGAACGTCATTTGAGCAGGGGCGCCCAAACTTTTGCACACAACCATATATGGCTATGTAGTTGCTCAGGCATTGGTCTAAATGCTAATACCAGACATATGAAACAATGCATAAATTCATCCAGCTGTAAATCAATATGCAACAACAGTGTTACTGCTATAAGAAAAGGTTGGAAACTTTATCCATGATGGGAAAACAAGCAGTGAGTGTACATTTCAAGTAATTCCGGATCATTCCTGATCATTCCTATTGGCCCATTTATCACATAACATAAAGACCAGGGGCCGGATTCATGAAAGTGTCTTAAGAAAGAAAATCTTCTTAAATGTGTGTGTTTTTCATTTAAAAAAAAAAGTTTGTAAAATGTGTTATCCTTCAAAAAACTTAAAAATTCCCTTTTTTTGTCTTAACCTTTTCTTGAAGAATAATTCAAAGAAAAAGTGGTATTTTTGAAAACATTATGTTCTTAAATGTCTTCTTAACCTTATTCTTAACTCATCTCAGGCTGTGAGAGTTGAAGAGGTCAGTATCTAAACTGATCAGTCTCAGAAGCTGCCTCTGCTGCTCCTCATCCTCGCCTCTGTTTTTTCTACCATCACTTCACAATGATTGTATTTTCTAAGGAGGATTTTTTCCTGTTGGCTGTTTCTTCCTCCAT